AGTACATTTGGTTTAACGGCTAAGAAAATTTTCAACTTTACAATTAATGAAGTTAAATTTTAGCGAATCCTTAAATATCATCATCGTCTTGCCGAGTTGCTTAAGAAATAGATAAAGAAGTAAATGAAGATCGAGATCAAGATCAGGTAAATGATCTTCATTTTATTCTTTATCAATATTTCGTTTTCATGTTCATTGTCATGTTTACTGTCGATTTCGCAAAAATAAGTTGGAGTTTAAAGATCCTACTTCTATTTTTAAAATGCCGACTTAGTAGACTAAATAGATGCACACGTTAATAAAATTAAGTTTTTTTGATAAGTATCTAATAGTAACCGATTATGTAAATAAGTCTATACGTTAAAAAAAATTGTATTTATAAATATTTTAATGTAAATACGTCACTTATTTATCTGAAATCAGATGCCCTATCACTCTTTACAGTTTTATTATTATTCTTTTGAAGGTTTTTCAATTTATGAAGTCTAGATAGATCTCCATAAATTGAATAAAAATTGTGTTTTATAAAAGAATGTTTCGTTTTTTTTCTCATAGTCACAGTACGTTTAAAGAGAAAAAGAATTTTGCATTATTATGAATTTATTGTCTATTAGCCAATCAGAATGAAAGTCTGCTATGTTCTCTAATACTAATACTTTTATAGCATTTCATGAAATAATTAATTTCTTGGTCATCTTACCTTTCTCACATGAAGCTTGAAACATATATTCAAAAAGGAAATTTTACTTTTACTAGTTATTACACTTTAAATGCTAAAAAGTTCATAGTTATAATATCGTACTATGTATTGATGTTGTCAAAATCACTTCTAATAAAAGTTGGTGAAACACTTGATCCCAAACGCTTATATGAAAGCCAAGTGTTCAAAAAACAATTAGACAAAACGTTAGATAGCTTTGGTTATAAAAATTCCAGTACATCTCATTTAGATTAAAATTTTCTATCATAAAATAAAGACTTGTATAACAATACTTGATTAATATAAAATAAATAGCCAATCAAACCAAATTTCTATAATGCTATTCAACACAAAATTTTTCAGCTAAATTTGTTCTATCAGCTTGGTTATTCTTAAATTTAACAATCTAAATAAACTACATCACAAGATAATGCAGGAGATATAAAATTCATATTCTAAAGGATTAACATAAGTATATGAATTTATTTTAAGATTTATTCTCACAATAGTAAAGAATCGTGTTTTTTAATTAATTTATTCGCAATATCTTCACTCTTCCAGAATTTCCACACTATTCATCGGAATGCTGCAAATTGTCATTTTCAAAAATCCTTTTATGATCTTTTGCATGTTAATAGGCTTTGAAGTGTACTTATTATAATCTGGATGTTTTTGCACGATACTTGGTAATTTTTTATCCATCTTGTCAGCTTCTAAGGATTGCTTATCAGCTTCTAAGGATTGCTTATCAGTTTCTAAAGACTGCTTATCATTTCCTAAGGATTGCTTATCAGCTTCTAAGAATTGATTTTTAATTATTCTTTTGTTGCTTTCATGCGCAAATTTGTTGATCCAAGTAGTAATTAACGTGCTAATATACATAGCAGTAGGCCTTTTTTTTTTGATCCTAGTCCATACATTGTTTAGCTAATTTACTGAAACATTCTAGAGTTCTAGGTGCAAATTTCGGTCACAATCTCAAACAAATCTTTATTGCTAAATCTTCATTAAATTCGTAACCATTGAAAACTTCTTCTCCGGACAAGATTTCCCACTTAATTATACCAAATGAATAAATATTTGCAGCTTGTGTAGATGGTTGATCTGATAAAACTTTTGGTGCAATATAAGGTAAAATTCCAATAATTTCATTAACATTTTTAGCAGGAGATATAAGACCTAAATCCGTGATATATGCATTATTTAAATCATCTTGTAAGATGTTACTGATATGCAGATTTTTATGAATATATCCTTGTGAATGAATAGCTTCAAGATCAGATACTATGCAACTTAATAAATTTAATTTTTTTCCCATTTCATTTGCGATACTTCTCGAAGATTATTACGTAAAGAACCATTTTTTACATATTGTAAAACAAGAACGTAATTTCCTGAATCATCTTGCGATAGTCCGTAGCACCTTAAGAATGATGGATTTTTATATCTTATCTCACAAAATGCTTTCAACTTTAAAAAAGAAATTATTAATATATAGTTGAAAAATTAAATAAACTCAATAAATTTATCTCATCAAAAAAACTTTGATCATGAATCATTTTAAATATGAATAAATAATTAGAATGAGAAGTTTTATAATCAATTATACAATTAGCACGATAAACGGTTGCAAATCCTCCTTTTCCAATCTCTTTAATATTTTTAAATTTATCATATGAGATCCATAATAATTGATATTTCTCATCTTCCAATACTTTTTTAACGTTATCATCGATACCAGAATAAGAGATTTTCTTTATTTTTATTTAAATTTAAGTTAAACTAATATAAAAATAAATAAAAAAAGAGAATAACCTACAATAACATTATCTTGAAAATTTTGTCTTTCCCTATTTTTAAATTATTAATATTAATATTTTTATATAAGAATTAAGAAAAAAGGGCTTACTTTTAAACCAATATTTAGCTTTTTTTAAGTTCTTTTTGTTCTAATTCCGTTTCGATAACAATAACCAGTGAGCTGCATTCCTTTGGCATATCCCATTTTAGCTGATTTCAGATACAATTTCAAAGCTTTTTTCAAATTTATCTCAACTCCGATTCCATTTTGATAACATTCTCCAAGACTATATAAAAATAACCAAGCTTATTTATACTTTTATCATGACCCATATTAGCAGATTTTTGATAATAAATAAAGGCCTTATGATCATCCTTTTCAACTCCAATTCCATTTTGATAACAATATCCAACATTATATATTCCATCAGCATTACTCATCTCAGCAGATTTTTGAATATTATTGAATGCTTTGCTTTCATTCCTTTTTAACTCCAATTTCATTTCGATAACAGTTACCAAGTGCAAATATTCCATGAGCATTTTCCATCTTATCAGATTTTTGATAATAAATGAATGCCTTATGTTCATCCTTTTCAACTCTAATTTCTTTTTCATAAAAATATCCAACACCATATTTTCCACTAGCATTCCCCATCTCAGCAGATTTTTGATAATAAAGAAATGCCTTATGTTCATCCTTTTCAACTCCAATTCCTTCATCATAACAATATTCAACACCAAATGCTCCATCAGCATGCCCCATCTCAGCAGATTTTAGATAGTATTCAAAAGCTTTATGCAAGTCCTTTTCAACACTATTACTGTACCAGTATTGCTCGCCCTTGTTATAAAGTTCAGTGGCATGATTAAAAGATGATAAAAAATAAATACTTTTAACTTAACGACAAACATTAATATAGCATTATTTAATTACACTAATGTTGGACATTGAACAATGATATTCCATAAAATCAACCTTAATTCTTTATTTTTTCACGTTTAAAAGTAAACGTTAGCATTTAGTATTACTTTGAATTACTCTGTTTAGGTAATTTCTATTCAAATTTTCGGTATTATTTTATATTTTAGTAATTTGATCTTCTTTAAAATCTGCTTTTTTTGGTATTTTTGAGTTTCACAATTTCAAACGTTTGTAAAGGTACTCTATATCTTTAGCGCTAGTTTTTTAGTGCTAGTTTTTTAGTGCTAGTTTTTTAGCGCTAGTTTTTTAGTGCTAGTTTTTTAGCGCTAGTTAAGCACTTGCGATTGCATATGAACAGTATTTTTTGGGGTGATGCGCATGCTCAGATTGCACTCAAAATTTTTTTGCTTGGCAACTAAGAGTTGTTTGAATAAAAAAAACTATTAGGTAGCACAACTGTAATAAAAATTAATATATATATACGTATATATGTCGCATCTGAAGTAGTGATTTATTTTAAGTAGCGTCTGGCTAAAATTAAGCCCTTGAAATTAGATCTTCATGCATGCATTAGATTTTAATTTTAGCCAGGGCACTACTTTAGATATATAAAGTGGCTACTTTAGATAAATCGCTACTTCAGATGCGACATATATACTTTATTCTTATAAATATAAGTCTTTCTATACCATTACCTAATTTATTGTTGTACAATGCAAACCTTTTTGAAGTTTAAAAAGAAAAACATACCAATAAATCTTTTTTTTATTTTAAATCTACCAAAGCACAAAAAATTTATATCAAGATGTTACTAAAAACGTTCGCTAAAAGTTTTTTTAAAAAAAAATTGGTTAGAAGTGGATAAAGTGGATAATCATTGATTATCCGACGATCGGAAAATCTTGTGATGTACTGTACCTGGCTTTAGCCGTCCCCTTTTTAGAATCTTGTATTACTCACGCAAATAAGTAAAGCCCGATTTATTAAACACACACTAACGTATATCGATATCGATATCGATATGTTGCATCTAAAGTAGATTTATCTAAAGTAGCGCCTGGATAAAATTAAGCCCCTGAAATTAGATCTTCATGCATTAAGTTATAATTTTAGCCAGGGCGCTACTTTAGATATAAAGTACGTAGATAAATCGCTACTTCAGATGCGACATATATACGTATATTGATCATAGTCAATCCGAAGAGTGTATGAACGCAATTTAATTTACACTAAACTAAATTCTTATGTATGATATACTGGTATATAAAAATTTATAAAATTTGTGTAGGGAAAACAAGAGTGTATGTGCACAATTACCTTAAGCGTACATTCAATTTTATACACTGCACCGACTGGACAATTTATTTTATCATTTCAATAGAAGTTATCAACAATTAAATCTTACATTCTAATGTTAAGAATTTTTCTATCATCAATTTTTACTTTTTGGTAGAGATACGTACGTAACGTGTGCCTTAACGAAATTTGGGAAAATTGAAATGTTGTGCACATAACATTGTGTAATCTTTGATCTTTATAAATTTCGTGCAAATATCTTGCGTACAAAAAAAAAATATGCCAGAAAATCTTAAAGAATATATCAAAATGAATGGATATAACGGATATTTTAATCCATTCAAGTCATTATTGCACACTTTGAGATTAAAGAAGCTTTTTCCAACCATTTTAATTTGCGGAATATTTACTATTTTATTTATGCAATATGATATTCATTCAGTTCCCTATAAATTTACACAACGTTCTGTTGGAATATCTCAAGAATCGTACAGAAATGGTGTTAATAAATGTAATATGATAAAACATGTCAAGCCCGATAATAAATTTAAACGAACAAGTAACCCTAGATTTGTTTCGGGAACAAAAACTATCATTTTGAAAAATGGAAAGATCTTAAATGGAAAAGGAGAAAGTATTTTAGGCGATATCATGCTAAAAAATGGGTTAATTCACGATATTGGACCGAATCTCACTGATGAGGATGCTATTGTAATTGATGTTAAAGAAAAATTTATTACGCCGGGACTCATTGATATGCATAGGTAACAAAAAAAAAAAACCAAAAAAAAAAAACCATTTGATCACTTATTGATCTTTGACTCATTTATAACTTCTAGTCATGTTGGTATCGAGTCTTGGCCAATTTTGTACGCTAACTTCGACTCTAATGAAGCCACCGATCCGATTAGACCTTATGTTAGCATTCAATCATTTTAATTTTTGAAATTTCAATAAACTCCCTTAATAAGCCTTTCCCATTGTAGGTTCGCGCTCAAGACGCCATCAATCCAAGTGATCCAGGTTAGTAAAAATCAAAATTATTTGAATTGACTGATCGAAACTTATAATATTCAAATAAATTCATGCGTTGTTACATCATCTCAGGAATTAGAATTGTTGCATCCGGTGGTGTTACAACTTCATTGGGTAAGAAGAATTACTACCTGACTATTTACGCGTAGAAGAGCAATTGCATTTGTAACTATTTTTGAGATAGACGTATCTTTCTAAATTAGCAGCCATTAGCTGGGACAACGTAGAAACTACGAATTAGTTTATGGATCATAATGATCAATTTCTAATTAGTGTTCTATGTTTGATATAGTTTTACCTGGTAGCGCTAATTTGATGGGTGGTGAAGGCTTTGTTATTAAGATGCGTTCCGTCGATACTCTGTCAGTGGATGATATGGGAATTAATGCGAATATTGATCCTGAAAAAGAGAGAGCTTGGCGTTGGTTAAAAATGGCTTGTGGTGAAAATATAAAGGTACAACTGACATTTATTTATGTTATTATATTTAATAATTCGCATGTTGATTAATTTCTTGCCAAATAAAGAGGAATTATGGTTCCGTCGGACGAATGCCTTCTACACGGCTGGGAGAAGCATGGCTCTTCCGTAAACTCTTTAATGAGGCACGGGTGTTGATGCAGAAACAAGATGATTGGTGTAAAGCTGCTGAAAAATTAAGTGGTGACGAACAATTGAACTCATATTTTCCGGAAGATCTTCGACTTGAAAGTTTGGTGGCATTATTAAGAGGCGATGTGAAGCTGAATGTCCATTGTTATGAGGTTTGTGATTATTGCAACATTTATAAGCAAATGTTTAAAAACTTTTAATATAAATATTCTTATGTAGACATATGATATAGAAGCAATTATTCGACATTCTTTGGAATTTAATTTTACTATTGCAGCTTTACATCATGCACTAGATGCTTATCGTATTACTGAAATTATTAAAAAACGTGTAAAAAATAATATTACTATTGCAACATTTTCTGACTTGTGGGGCTACAAGAAGGAAGCATTTCAAGCTAGTACAAAGTCTCTGAAAATTTTAACTGATGCGCAAATTCCCGTAGCTATAAAATCTGATCATGGCATAATAAATGCGGTAGATTATTATTATTAGTATTATTATTATTTGTTGTTGTTATTATTATTATTATTATTATTGTATATGTTTTTGTTTCTTAAAATCTCTCTAAAATATTATATTTTAATTATAGCAAACTTTGATGTTTGAAGCCTCCAAGGCAAATTATTATGGTCTTGATGAACATCTTTCTCTTGCAGCTGTCACATCAGTGCCCGCAAAGGCGCTTGGTTTAGATCATCGCATTGGTCAAATTTCAAAGGGATATGATGCTGATGTTGTGGTAATTATGGATAAATTGATATGCAATGTAGATTGAGTTTTATAAAAATATGTATTTTTATTTATGATTATTTTATGACTAGGTTTGGGATTCTTATCCACTTGATTTGGGTGCAACTCCATTAGAAGTTTATATCGATGGAATTCCTCAATTCAACACTTCTTCATGTGTACTTGGAAATGATTCATCAAAACAAATTCCATCAAAATCTATACCAAAGTCAAATTTTACACGAGTGCCTGCTAAATCACGATTAACCTCCTCCGTTGTGTTAAAAAATGTTGCCAAAATTTATGTTGATAAGGACCATATAATTGATACCACTTCATCAACACAAGGAGATATTAGCGTAATAGTCAAAGATGGCATTGTTGAATGTATTGGTATTAATTGTACAGAACCAGATCATATTTCATCATATGAAGTAATTGATTTAAATGGTGGATACATCTTACCAGTAGGTTTTTTTCTTGTTTTCTACAAAATTTGAAGTTCTAATAATAATCATAAACCTATTCAATTTAAGGGATTCATTGCTGTTACGCCATCTCTAGGATTATCAGAGATCGATGTGGAACCCTTCACAACAGATGGTATAGTGACAGCTGTATCCAATCCTAACGACGCTGAAAAAATTATTTACGCAATTGATGGATTGAGGTTGGGAGGCAAACATTTAGAGGCCGCGTATAAGGCTGGATTACTTACTGCTGTCACAGCACCTTTATCGCATGAAGGCGTGTTTATTGGGGTTTCTATGGCTTTTGAAACAGGCGCTAGCTCTGGTATAATATTTTTAAGAGTTTTATATTGACGATTATTAGCAAGTGCTCATTAGATGTTTTTATTTCTTTAATAAGTTCTAGATTGTGATCCTAATCCGATTGTTAAGGAACATGCAGCACTTCATGCTCAGATAGGGACTGCATTCAAATATTGTAATATAAATTTATTAATTATTATACTGTATCTATTTAATTTCATTATTTACTTATTCATGAGATCATTTTTAATGAACAGCCACCATACCGACAGTCTCGGGTCAAATTGCTTTGATAAGAAAAACCTTAATAAAGAATCTAAAGCAACATAATATCTTTGGTCGTGCTGCACGAGGGGATATCCCTTTAGTAGTACAAACTCACAGCAAAGATGAAATTGCTTCATTGATCCGATTGAAAATTCAAATTAAAAATAATGGAGGTCATTTAAACCTTGTGATATTGGGTGGTACTGAAGCACATATGCTTGCTGTTGAATTGTCTAAACATAAAATACCTGTAATACTTATCCCATCCCGACCTACTCCAGTGTCATGGACAGCTCAACATGCATTAACAGGAGCACCTATTACCAATACAACCGGGATTGAGATACTTCATGCCAATAAAGTTATAGTAGGAATAGGTGTAATAGAAACGGGTAGGGAAAGAAATTTAATTTGGGAAGCTGGCTGGGCAGGTATAAATTCGAGAGGGGTTATTTCCGAAAAAGATGCGCTTGGGTTTATTTCATGGAACTTGGAAGAAATTTTTGGGTTAAATGAGAAAAATAGAAGGTTAATGAAAGGCAACATTGCAAATTTTGTGGCCTATGATGGGAATCCTTTTGATATGAAAACAAGGGTGAGAATTGTTGCTGGAGGTGGTAAGAGTAAAATTCTTATTGATCCTCAACAGGATTAGCGAGATATGAAAAGATTTAGTAGTTGCTAAAATATTTGCACATACCTGGGTAGTATTTATTGCTAGTATCTGTATATGTTTATTTTTTTCAATATAAAGTTCAAAATTTTAAAATTACTAGCAAGAATGAAGTTGTTCTTATTTGGAAAGTTAGCAATTCACATTATGCAACAACCGATAGCTTTATCTTTTCTTTAAAAAATGAATATCTAAATGTAGGGTTGTTAATAGAGTAGCATACTCCGGAGTAGACACAATCTAAGTTGGAGTGGATTTTAAAGATATGCTGGAGTGAACCGGAGCAACTCTAAGCAAATCTGGAGTGACTTCAGAGTGAGCCTAACCCAAGTTGGAGTGAGTTGTGGAATGGCCCAACCCAACTCATTAACAACCCTATATAAATGAGTCTATTCTTAGTCGTGTATAATGTTGGTGATAGAATTAGGGAATTATGGCATCACCTAATTTTTTATTATATGATTTTAGTAAATTACATAAATTGATGAAATCACATTTTTAAAAATTTCTCTTAAAGTCTTAGCATAAAACATAACGTTCTTAAGACAAATAAGTTTCCAGGGCTTCAAAGAATCTAGCAGCATAAAGAAATGAAAAAAACTTTACCTGATAATGTGAGACCTCTTCAAAGATGAGCAATTATATTTCCTTCTCTCACATGATTCTTTCGGAGTTTTTGAGATCTTGACGTGAAAAATAGCTTGTTAGATGCGTATAAGCGAGAACTTCCTTTGAAATGCATCTTTGAAAGGACGTCGGGACACCTGAACTCAGTGATTATCACATTACATGAAATAACGTTATTTGTTTACGATTTTACTAATTTTTACCCACACTTTCTATTGGTTGAAATAATTTGTGATTATTTACATGTCACAAAATGTGGTGTTTCAGCTAGGGTTGGCATTAAGATTAGTAGGTAAAATTGTTAGTACGTGAAGGGTGATTGCTTACTGATCCTGATTGGCCAGAATCAAAGTGACATCACCGAATTCATCCAATCATTGGGAATAGACCAGGGCGGCCTTCAAATTTGCGGGTCATGTGAGAAAATTGCCACTGCTATTAGGCCATAAATATATGAAAATGTAACAATATGACAATAACTCAATATTATACAGTATTGGGGAAATTTAACAATCACACATGCTCTACATGCAACTGCGCAGTGGCGCTACTCACATGACCCGCAAATTTGAAGGCCGTCCTGGTCGATTCAATCATTGGTGAGTTTTACCTTCAACCAATAGAAAAGGTGGGTGAAAATTAGTAAATGCTGAGTTCAGTGGTTTGTGGCACAGTCTTGCAGTTAACAGAATTTTTTAGATGCTTAATACGTAGTAAAATCACTTAAGGAAAACTTTTTATTAGGTGGCATTTTATGCGGATTTTTGACTAAAAGAACGTTTGCTTTGAAAATTTTCTGATCGTATTACGTTATACTGTGATCCTAAAATCTTATTTGCGGATTAGGAATCTGCGCCACAATATCGACAAATTTATGCGTGCATCTTCATAAAAATGTGAAGAAAATTAATAAAAATTATTTCATAATATATAGATTGCAATCTTTGAAAACCGTATTTGTAAATTTATAAATATATTCAAGATAATTGTTCTTTTTATTGATTTTTTTGTTCAGCATTTACATAATTTAAAATCTAAGTAACTTTCTTGATCTTTTACATCAGTATCACGAATTTGTTTTGATGTTCAATATTTATATAGTGACAGCTTTTCCAATAGCTTATTGACAAACTCTCTAGGTAATACAGTAGAGTCTTTATATTCCTCAAGCTGCTTCAAGATATTTTCGTCAGGTTTAGTTTTGTGTGTTATATGCAAGAAAAGGGATTAGTTTCAGAAGATGGATTGGTTTCAAAAGATAAATCAATTTCAAAAGATAGATTGATTTCAAAAAAACAGATTAGTTTCAGGAAATGGTGTTAATTGTATGCCTTGGCCTATTTCATCGGTTTTAATACTACTGGTGCAATTTAAATCATTTCACCTTTTAAATAGTGATCAATTTTGTGTAGGTAGGCTACTTATTTCAAAGCTACTTATATGCATCCTAATAAATCCAAATAAAATCATTGACGTAACAACTATAAATATGCTTTGATCAATTTCACATTTTCCTTATGTCTGTTGAAAGAGTATCAGTGAAGATTAATTGGTTAATAATTAATTTGTGTGAGAACTACTGTAAACAAAAAGGAACAATTATAAATTCAGAATGTGAATAAATTGATTCAGGATATGTTTGCTTATTTGCATATTTAACATTATTTAAAACTTCAGATTCTGATAATTTTAATAAAATTTTTCCATCATTTTGCCATTCGGCAAAAAGTTCTTCAATTTTTACTGCCGTTGGACGTTTTTCTGGTACCTTATCCCAACATTGCTTCATTAGGCTTATATAGCACTGTGGAGTGTTTCCAGTAATGGCTGGCCTTAAGTCATTAAAACATATTTCTATTGCTATTTTAGATTCTTCTGATTCATAAAATACTGGTTCTCCATACAAATCTCCCACATAATTATTCCAAATGAATAAATATCTGACGCTGTTGTATGCTGTTTTCCGGTCAAAACTTCTGGAGCTACATATCGTAAAATTCCATAAACTTCACACATATCTTTTGTAATTAGCGCTTATTTGTTGATATTGAAAGACCCAATACTGCAATGTAAGCGCTATGTAAATTATCTTGTAAAATACAACCGCTATGTAAATTTCGATGAATAAGTTCCTGCGAATGAACCATTCTAAGATCAGAAGCAATACAGTGCAATAAAGTCAATTTATCCTCCCACTCCATTTGTGCTACTGATTGAAGATTCTTGTACAAAGTGCCCATTTCAGCGTACTTCAAAACAAGGATATAATCATCGGTCCAACCATCTTTTGATACACCATAACATTTTAAAAATGATGGATTTTTATAACCAATATCACAATACGCTTTTAACTTTGATATTGAAAGATCATTGTTAATAAATATTAATATATAAACTCTTTAAAACTTTCAAATCAGTAAAACAAAATTACCTCGTTTATCAATTGTTCATTATATACTTTTGATCCAATTAAGAATTTAAGTGCAACAGGTATATTCGCATCACATTTTTTATCATACCATCTAGCGAAATAAACAGTTGAAAACCCTCCTTCTCCTAACTTTTTAATGTTTTTAAATTCTTCATAAGGAATCCATGATAATTGATATTTATTTTCGTCAAATAATTTTTTTAAATCAGAACCGGTTTGTGTCAATTCATTGATATCGTCCCATTCATTGGTAACTAAAAATTAATAGTTAGATTATAAACTATTTCATTTAACGGATCAATAACAAATCCTACTAGGCAATTGATTTTTTTCTCTAATTAAGTTAAATATATGAATTAAATTGTGAGCAGCAAAAAAAGAAAACTTATATATCCATAATAATAACTTATTTACTTGTGAAACCATTCATCGGCTTTTTGTAAATTTCTTTTTATTCCAATTCCATTTCGATAACAATAACCAATTTGAGACATTGCAAAAATATAACCCATGGCTGCAGATTTTTGATAATTAATGAATGCTTTATGTTCATCCTTCTCAACTCCAATTCCATGTTGGTAACAATAACCAACACTAAAAATTCCATTAGCATTTCCCATTTCTGCAGATTTTTGATAATAAATGATTCATCTTTATTAACTCCAATTCCATTTTGATAACAGTTGCCAAGACTAAACGTCCCATTATCATTTCCCATTTCAACAGATTTTTGATAATAAATAAACGCTTTACATTCATCCTTTTCAACCCAATTCCATTTTGATAAAAATGTCCAACATTAAATATTCCATTAGTATTTCCCATATCTGCAGATTTTTGATAATAAATAAATGCATTATATTCATTCTTTTCGACACCAATTCCATTTTCATAACAGTTAGCAAGGCTAAATGCCCCGCTATCATCACCCATTTCTGCAGATTTTAAATAATAATTGAATGCCTTAAGTTCATCCTTCTCAACTCCAATTACATTTTGATAACAATAACCAACACTACATGCTCCGTTAGCATTTCCCATTTCTGCCGATTTATGATAATATATGAATGCTTTATGTTCATCCTTTTCAACTCCAATTCCATCCTTATAACAGTTACCAAGGCTAAATGTTCCACTATCATCTCCCATTTCCGCAGATGTTTTAAGATAAATGAATGCCTTATGTTCATCTTTTTCAACACCAATTCCATTTTGATAACAATATCCAACATTATATGTTCCACTAGCATTTCCTATTTCTGCTGATTTTAGATAATAAATGAATGCCTTATGCTCGTTCCTTTCGACACCAATTTCTTTTTGATAACAGATACCAAGACTAAACATTCCATTATCATCACCCATTTCTGCTGATTCTTGGTAATGAGTAAATGCCTTATGTTCATTGATATCAACCCCTATCCCGTATTGATAACAATACCCAACCATAAATTTTCCACTAGAATTTCCCATTTCTGCAGATTGTTGATATAGGATAAATGCTTTATGTTCGTCCTTTTCAACTCCAATTCCGTTTTGATAACAGTTACCAATACTAAAAATTCCATTTTCATCGCCCATTTCTGCTGAAACTTTGTAACAAATAAAAGCCTTATTTTCGTCTTTTTCAACTCCAATTCCATATTGATAACAATAGCCAAGACTGCATATTCCACTAGCAATTTTCATCTTGGCTGATTCTTGATATTGAATAAATACATTATGTTTATCTTTTTCAATTCCTGTTCCATGTCGGTATCCAAGAACAATTAAATCGGTTGATTTTTTATGAAACTGGTTAGGAATCTTCATTTTTTTTGTTTGAGTATTTTTTTGGGTAAGAATTTTTTTTTGAGTATTTTCTTGTTTGAATGAGATATAGAGGAAAATTCGAAATCACACTTTATTTATAAATGGAATAAAT